CAAATCTGTCTCCCACTAATTCCAAACATTTACTGAAATATGTGAAAATGAACTGAATGCGTGACCACAAATCCCCATTTCAAGCCTCTTCACAAAGCCTGACTGAGTTTTCAAGCTGCTGTTCAGAAAAAATTCAAATACAGGTTTAGGGGCCCAGCACAACTGAGCTCTGTGCTCATCAGTCCTTTAATGTAGACCAAAGGTCTTTGTGGTTCAAAATCATCTACTGCAATGCTAAGCAATGCACTCGTTGCTTTTGCTGACTTTCAGTAAACCAGTAGGATGCCAGGATGTCACGATCAGAACATCTGCTTCATTGGAAAAGTATTTCAGCAGCCTTTGCCTTGTAATAAATGATGCGATCCTGGAAGGCCGACAGCAGCGCAGGAGTGCGGGCAAACAGCTCACCAAAGGTCAAAGCCACCCAATGCTTTGGGATCAGCAGCACCATTTCTGTCCACCCCACCCTACCCAGAGTCTTAGAGCTGCAATGAATAAGTGAAAAAGTACATCACTGATAATATATCTTCTACCAGTGAAGAATATGAGAAGGGAGGACAGGAGAGGAAAGCAGAGGAGAAGGGAATCCAGCTGTGAAGATATTTACTCTCCCACCGAAAACAGAGCGATTCCCAGAAGCGCCGCTTAGTTTGCCTCAGTCAGAATGAACTTGGGTAGCAAAATGTGAATTATAAACTATTTCAGTTATGAAATAGGCTACAGAGCGCTTACACAAACAGCTTCACTAGCACACAGATACCTGTCCATCTTAATTTATAGCCTTTTCCAGAACAGTCCCTTAGCATCTGACTTTTTTTTTAAGGAGTTACTCATTTTCTTTCATCTTTTAGACTCTGTATTCTCCTAAAACACAACCCTCCACTGCTTTTGTAATCTTTTTTTTTCCATCTACAATGCAATGTCAAGAAAACCCCAATGCCATAAAACAGTGCAAACATTTCAATTTTACCAACAATGTAAACAGCATCAAAAAGATTTTGGATCCTATTTATCTACCTGTGGCATTAGTAGTCAGTGGATGCTCTGCTGCTACAGTTAGAGAAAGGTCTTGCTCCTGTTGTTATTGTTATTGCCTTTTAAAGTGAAATGATAGTAGCAGTCTGTTGAATGGTAGCATTTTACAGCAATTTAACTTCCTGCCTAAAGAAGCAAATCTGCATGAAAATTACCTGGAAAGCACAATCACATACACACAGTGTTTATATATATATATACGCACATATATGCTGGCATTTTCAGAACAGGTATGTCATACAGCATATCAAAGGCCATAAGGATGAAGCATAAACTAGTTGGCAAGATTATTTTCTAAACTAATTTCCTAGAAAAGGAACCATTTCCTAAAAAAGCCTACTATTACTCTCCAACCTATTCTTTGATGAAAAGTGCAGCTGATTTCTACCTTCATTCTTATTTACCTTCCATGAAAGCACCACTGAGGACTTAATGAAGAATGCTGGGTAATTCTGGCATTATTGGATTTTTGGTTATTTATTTATTAGACATGAGAACTGTTATCAGCAAGCAGCCAGGTGAGTCAAATCAGATAAAGCATTATCTGATTCCTGTGCTGTAAATCAGATTTTAATAGAGAAAAGATCTGTATTCCTTTGGGATTGGAAAGAATATGTTTATAATGTGTTCTGAGTGTCTGCTACACAATAGCAGGTATGGATAAAAATATTTTCTCTAATCAATTTTCCACCTTCTTCTCCAAGTTCTTTCACACATAAGATGAGAACTAAAATAAATGAAAATTTGGTTTGTGACAAGTGCTACCAAATAACTAAGATAAGCATGCATAAAAGCATGCATACATGCTGCATTCTCAAACAGACATACAAAAAATACTGAATTCTGCAATATTAAAAGACATTGTAATTTCTCTGCTGGTAGAATAACTTACAGATTTCAGGTTTATCTAATTCAGCCATTGAAATGAAACCTTTGGTAGCCTACTTTTAACCTCAATACACCTTCTATCTTAGGTATTTATCCTTGTCTTTGAATCTATAAAGTCTTATGACAGCACCTGTAGACTGGACACAGATAATATTTGACTACCTCTTGAAGGTTTTACAAATTTTAATCAGCAGAGTAATCTAGATATGCTCAGACAGAAATTAATGTTAAACATAAAAAAACCTTAATGCAAAGCCAGCTCTTTCTTGTACTGCAGTCTTATTTGAATTTTAATTTGCTGGAAATTTTTGTTTGCAAAAATGAGGGCTCCCCTCTCACCTAATGCATCTGTGTTTGAACTAAAATCCTGTAATTAGTTTACTGTCTGGATACTTAAATATTCTGAGGACTCAAAAATTACTTTCAAAATCAAACTTGCCAGGTCACATCCAATTAATTCCATAACAAACAGGAGGAATAGGCCTTTCGTGTCATATTTGGCTTAAAATTTCAATTTCTCATATGAGTTACACATGAAAATGAATTTATAGCCAAACATTTTTATTTACTGAGGTTTATGAAGGTGTGTACTCAGAGTGAATAGGGAAAGCTCTGCCACTGCCAGCCATCAGCAGCAAGGCTGACATCCACATCACACTTCACTATCTTCTTATTCCCTTTTCTTCCCAGGTGAGCCTTTGCTTCTCCATCACAATTCACAGGAGGACTAATATTTTTAAAAATAACTGCAAAACTACAGGCAGCATAGAAGTCATTAACACAATGGAAGCTAATATCAAACTTACGCTGTCTGAATGTAGGTCCTACTTTCCAGGGAAAAAAATCCAACCAAGTCACAACTAACCATATGCTGTATTTGAGCTATTGGTTTCCCTTTTGGGGAATGCAGCTGCACTTTATTTTTTTTTTAATCACTATCTGAACAATAACATTATTCCCAGGTTATTCTGTATTTGGATGAGTAAAGGCTAGCTCTAGTCAGTTGGGCAAGAGAGTAGTTTCAGGTTGTAATGACCTTGATGTCTCAGACAGATTGAACATCTACAAGGAAGACCAAATAATTTTTTGGTGATTAAAATGGAGAAATAAATGAAGGAACTATGACCTGTGAGAAACATGAATACTGAGTCTGAAAGCATAGCCTGTAATTGGATGCACTGTACACATCACTAAGGAAAATACTGTAAAAGTCTGTTGTCTTTCCTCCTGGAGACAGTAACAAGGGTGGGGAGAAGCATAGATGATGGTGTAGTGTTAACATGAAACAAATAGGAAACAGTCTCTTAAATACTTTTTTTCCCCCAAAAAAAGAAAAAAAAAAAGATGAAATTAAGTGTAATAAAATTCCCCATAGGTCCACATTTAGTTATGTCTCTAAGAAACCTGAAGAAGTTTACTACAGCACAACTAGAATGACCAACATTGAAGAAACTGATATCTCAACCCAACCCTAGATAGCAAAAACCTTTGCTGCCATTGTATATCCCCTCTGTGCCCTCCTTCAGCTGGCACAGTTAGACTAGCAATCCCTTTCTCCTTAGTTTCAGCAGACCAGGCAACCATAATTTAGTACTAACAAAGCCACAAAGCCATGTCATTTGCGGGAGCAAACAGACTATCTTTAAAATTGCTGTCTTTCTAATGAGCATCTTGTAAATCCGATGAAATTTTTGTCATTAAGCTCAAGAAATTTCTGATGTATCTGAAAAATGGCATTTAAACTAATAGTAAAAACCACAAGAAAGGCTGCAGCCTCATAGCATCTACCACATTCTGATCCACACAGTAGCCTTTTGCAATACGACATAGGCTTCAGAGATGCTTCCTTCATTAACATGACGTTGGTTTGAGCTTTTTTCCCCTCACAGTGGCAGGTAGAATGTTTTCTGAGAAATTAGTATCTCAGTGCAATGGACCACAAAATTCACTGCATAACAGGAGACGAGCAGATGCAGATTCAGAACCTTATTTGTCAATTGTACTTATAAATACGAGTGAAACTATCTGACACTTTTTCAAATTAAAAGACTGTCCCTTATACAATATAGTCAGCTCTTCCAATCCAGTTTTAAAGGACAAAAGCATTGCTAGCCTGGCATCTCTTCTTCTGGCAATTCTCTCATATCCCAAAATTAATGCCATATTTATATCTTTTATCATTATTGAGCTACTAATGCCTACCACCATCTTAATTGCACATGTTCAAGCTCTCAGTGGAGTAAGAAATTCCCTGGACTAGCAGATGTTCTGCTGCCTGGCACAGTGGATCAATCTCAGATTTTAGCCAGCAAAGGCACTACATTGCAAACGGTGAGAACCGTATGCCCTTTCTACATGGGATGGGTCTAAAGCCTGGCCATGTCAGACTGTGAGACCAGAGCCTCTCAATTACTGCTTTTCTCCCCCTTAAGTTTTAATGAACCTTTATTGAAAATATCCCATTACTTTCCTCTGTAAATACATCCTGAATGACTCAGTACAGGAAGAAGGGGCAGGAGGATGAAGGTTGCTTCAATTTTTTTTTAATCATGAAACCTCCTTTTTTACAGATAAATGTTCCTGGTTCTAGATCAAATGCACCCTTTTCCACTTTAAAATAAGAAAAAAGATGTATTAATTCAGAGTTGACAAACAGACAATATACATGAAGCAGTTCAGGAGAAGTGAGGTAGCTTTAATAATCTGTATCACATTATTATTTGTCTGTTGTAACTTTATGGCTTATAAACAGGAGTTTAGACACTCGTGGCTTCTCCTCCCTGGAGGGTAATGTATCAAGATGGTAATGTATCATGACCTCAACAAATGTTCTATTTGAAGAGCACAATGACTCCCAAATGGAAAACATGTTTCTGCCTGTGATATCTCAGGTTTAAACATATTTCTCTTCTTTTTTTGTAAAAGCCCCTTCGTTTCTAAGAAAAAAAATGGCCTGGCAGAAATTCAATGCCAGGCTCCACCTTTAAACTTGTAAGGCCCTTCAGCACTGGTGATGCTGGTGTAAATGTATTGTTAGGACCACATCAAACCCACCGTCCCAGAGGCATCTGACTTACTGAGGTTCCACTTAAGGCCTGTCGTGGTCACGCTCTCACAGGAGTTCCCAATGGGGATGAGGCCACACCAGGTGCCTTCTAGTCCCGTGTCCACACGCAGCTTGTGCTTCCCCTGCAAGACAGAAGGGCTTCTGGAGTCAATGTTTGCCAGGCACCCAAACCTGCTCACAGACCTTGCAAATAAAACACAAAGTACTTAGATGGAGACAGGTCCAGAATGTCCCCCAAGAGCTCAGGAATATTTCGTTGCAGCAGGAACTCAGGCCATTAATGTTTACAGAGGGTAGAGAGATGTGTGCTTAGGTTCCAGACCTCAGGGCTTTCAGAAGTTTGTTTCCAGGCTTTTCTAAGCAGAGTCTGGCTTTGTGCATTCTTCCCTATCATTTTTTGAATAGACACTTCTGTCAAAGCTAGGCTCTTTATTCCCATGAAATGAAGGCATCCTGATCCATTAATTCATTTTTTCCTCATCTAAACAGCTGTGTTTCACTTCCTAAACAATGCTAGTCAAAGTGCCACTGAAACTCCTTCATTATTTTGGCAACATCTGTAAAATTTCATGTACTTCCCCAGGCATGTACTCTTCCCAGAAGGACAAATATGTGCAGAAACTCAACTAGGTGCTAGAGAAATTAACCTAAATATTTAAAGTAACATGCTTACAATAAGTAAGAACAAAAATTGAAATAAAAAAAATTTTTTTGTACACCTAGGATAAATTTATCTTGTAACTCTCCAGTTCATGGGATGCAGGAGAAACAACAGCTATTAATGATGATGGATTTGTGACAAAGCTCTTAATTAGCACTTATAGACCCTGTGTGAACATCTTGCCAGGTATCAGCATATGAACAGTTGCAAGGAAGAGTAGATAGAGGAAATCTTTTACAGAATGAAAAAAAAAAGTGCTGAGTGTTATAGTTCTGGCACAGTATGTGTTCAAAGAAACTAAGGAGGTGTTTATGGAAACTAGCTACAAGAAAACAGCAAGTGCCACGTAGTGACAAGAAGAAACCATCTCTAGTCTCTTCTATACAGATGATTTATTCTTTCAAATAAACATGGGCTTCATCTGGGGGAACCTTAAGATTCTCTAAGGGTTTATTTTATTTGTTTGTGGATGCATGGGCAAGTGAAACTCTTGAGCATGTCTTTTCAACAAATTCTTCATCACTATAAATAAAATCATATATGCCTATTTATAAATATACCAAAATAAAAGGACTCTCTGAAACCAAATGAGTATTCAGTGAGTAGTTTGTTAAACAAGAAACCAAGGTTTTATACCAAGAGCAAAAAAAAGAACAGTTGAATCGTAAAAATCATGTAAATGTCCCAAGCAGCAAAAACAGTGTCTCACAAATTTTCTAAGGGAAATGTATTTGAGCTTTTTTTTCATGCCCTGTCCTGTCATATGCTCATTTCATGTGCTCTTGCAAATACAAAGTCACCAGTTAGAAAGTCAAAACTGGAGGCAAAATATCTTATTGCTGAGACATTGATGTCTGAGGCGTTCAACAACTTCTCCCGTTAACGCCAAATGCATTATGAAGAAACAACTTCAATACATGTCATGCTCTCAGTTAACAAATGAACCTTGGAAAAGCTGTCAATTAGAGAGTATCAGATTGCATAGCTTAAGCCTATTTGATTGTTTGCAGAGCAACAAGAAAACCAATCCAATATCATCTGTCTTCTCAGGGTGTCCAGCTTCATGTGGTGATGAGCCTTGTATATCCGTAGTGGTTTTGAACGCTTGCCTGCCAAATTCAGAGGTGTAACAAATTCAGGCTTGATAACCTTTTAGCTATGCAATATGCCGTGCTACTTCTCTCTCACAGCACAGAGGGAGGAGGAAAGGGAGAGGTACAAGTACAAGCTCTCTTGTTATACGATTGCAAATATTGTCTGTAATGAAGCTGATAATGAAGGAGAGATGAAGGGGTGGGACTGTCTATTCCCAATGAATATTGCTGCTCAGAGCTACTCTAGGAGAGGAGCAAACTCACCACATTTATCTATTAGTAAGGGAATATGAAAAGCAGATGTAAAAGTAGCTGGCCCCACAGAGAACCTGATTAAGTTCTGTGTTCTCAAAATCTATGTCCAACCAGTATCAGGTTTGCATTTCCTATTTCATGACATTCTCACCCAGTTTATAGATAAGGAAACAATTCGGTAGAAATTTATGCAGAAAGCTGTCTTCCTATGCTCATGAAATAAATCTTTAAAACAAAAGATGTCAATACCAGAGGCTCACCAATATCTAGGATTTTATCAAGAGGCTTTCAATGTCTGGTACCTCCCTAAAATCCCAGTTCACATGTTTCAGCAATTATGTGAGAACATTAACTTTCTTCCCTAAAAGGACATTTTCTAGCACTCAGTTGTTTTTGCAAACTGGGAACCCAAAGGGCTAACTCAAGGCAGCAGGTGAACAGGAATTGAAATATTGAAATGCAAATTATTTTTTAAAAAAAACCCTCTGAACTGTTAGGACAAATTTATATCTTAGGGATTGCTCCACTAATTTAACAGAAGTCAGTTTTTAAGACTTCTCTTTAAATAAGTCAATAAGGTTTCTTAATATTACTGGGGATAGTGGCAGCAGAAAAGGGAAATGGACATTGGGAAAAAACCCAAACAAAAGAATTCCAAGTAACCTACTAATTTTTGCCAAAAAGGCTTAACCAGACAATGCATTTGCACAGTACTCTAAATTCAAAGCACTGTGAGCCTGCCATGGGGGAAATTCAGTGCCCAAGCTTATCTTCAAATTTTTGAGTACAGATCTCTCAACCAAGCAAGATGGAACTGATATTTGCAGGAGGAAGGCAGGATCCTAATTTGCAAATACAAGTAGTAATTTTTTCTATTTAAGTCTGTGTGATTAAAGGAACAATTACACACTGACACTTAAAATATCAAACTGTTTTCAGTTTCTGCAGAACTCAAAGTTCCAAAACTAGTTTAAAAAGAAAACCAAAGTTTGACTAAATAAATTCCTCCTTCTTAAGTTTTTTTCTTCTGTAGGAGATAACTGAAATATTTTCACATTTAACTTAGGAATCAAATATTACCATGTTTGAATGGTAATTCCTGGTGATAAAAGAATGGCAAATAATACAGCTGCATTGATTTTTATCTTATTAAGTCAGTTTTGAAAAACATTGATCAATCTTCAGCATTGATTTTTTTCCTTCATTTTGCCTCTGATGCTGGGAAATAAGATCAATTTCTGAGTTCAGCAATAAGAGGAAAATGTCAGAAGATATTTTTAAGAATTCTTCATCCACATAGGTTAAACTTTTCCTTTTGATTCTAATGCCTTGTGTTATAAACGGCATTTAAGCAGTAGTGGTTAAATATACACCCACTCGAACACTGTTTTCACTGAGGAAAGACCTAAAGACATAGTTGTTCTTTGTCACATCTCCTAACTGAAATGAATAGAAGTCTGATTGCTGGGAACTCATATACCTAACCCCATTCAAGGTGGTAAGATGCTAAAATCCTTAGTCAAAAATTTTCAAGCTGAAAAGCACATTAACAGTATCAAGATAAAAGCTGATAGCTTCTCTGTGTGTATAGATATCCCAGTATACAGAAAATTACTTCTCCAAGTGCTTTTCAGACCAACTTGAATAAATGTGCTGCAATAAATGTACACTCTAAAATAGACATCAAGCAACAAAAAGTTATGAAAGAGAAGAGGGAATGGGGACTGATCTTCAGTACTGCATTCTGAAGGGATCTGAAGGAGGGAAACTTGGAACTTGGCAGGCTGAAACTGTACACAGAGGAGAGGCACAAAGCCAGTTAACAAGATGTTGGGGAAGAATAAGGAATTAAAATTAAGCTTTAAAAAACAAGTGAAGAAAGACATTGTAAGTAGATCTTGGAAACTGCTGAAGAACTAGGGCATGTGAAAGGTAACGGGGAAGGAAAAAGAATGAGTTACCCGATTAGAGGGCAAAGCAACCTATTCTGATCTTCAGGCTGTCCTGATAGTTTCTCCAGTACAATCTAAGAAATCACTGATTTTCTAAAAGGTATACTGTCACCTGTGCTTGCTGTGAGATCTGGGACTACAGAGAAACAGGATTTCTTGAGATTTGGCCAACTGCTCTATGATACCTCCTCCACTAGCTAGATCTTGTTTTCCATGACCTTTCGATAAAGCGTCTTCTTTATAGCAGCTTTTTTCCTTGATTACTCCATAGATGGCAGCACACACTTGAAAGCAACAACAGCAGCAGAAAACTAAATACAGATGTCATGGTGTTACCCAGGGAAAAGGCAAACCCCACAATTTGTTTTAGTACATAAACATCTGGGTGCAGAAGATTGTATATAGATAAAAGATTTGGGGAATGGGTGGAAATCAACACAATCACTAAAGATTGCAGAAGAGAGGAGGAGGAGAAAAGGAACAAGTATGAAACAAAGCCGAGAACGTTTATGTTTAAAATCAAATATCAGTTGTTCCAGAAATATTTCTACTAATCATTAGTTGTGCAGGAGCTTGACTTAACAATAATAAAAGCTTTTAGGCTGAGATTCTGAGCAAGATAAATACAGCCAATTTTCTAAAAGGATGTGCTTAAGAAGAGCCATTTTATTATAACCCTAAAATATCATCAATTGTCTTTTCACACAAATACACATAGTGCCAAGTTGCGATTATGTGAATGCTATTCAAAGAACATTTTCTGAGTGAACCAGGCTTTTTGTTGTTGTTGAAAACAAAAGTAGTCACAGTTCCAGCAAAAACTAGGAAGTCTAAAAGCTCTTGCCTGTCATATCAATCAATGACTGCTTAAACACATATAGAAAAAATAGCAAAATTATTATTCTTCAAAATAATATTGAAAACTATTGGACCCAATCCTGCCAATCCCTACTATCAAACGTTTTTAGTGTTCCTGCATTGAAATGGATAGACTTCAGTATATCAGTTATTTGCAAGAGAGAGCCTTACCAAGGCTATCCTTCAGGAGAAGCACTTCATAAAAAATGACTTTATAGTGAATAAATTCCCAGGCAGGAGAGAAAGAATATATTATAATCCTTATTAGATCCAATTAATGAACACATCTGCTTCAAACCAGT